GACCCACGGAATGATGACCTCCTCTTTGAGCCAGTCCTCGACGGCCGCCTGCGCAATCTGGCCCCCGTTCTCCGTAATCTCAATGGGAAGCGTCCTGCCCTGGAGGGGCGGCTGTCTCTGGGGCGCCCCTCTTTCCTCGTCGGATCCCCCATTCCTTCCTCCACTCCTCGATTCCCTCACTCCCCCATTCCTCCTTCACTCCTCCATTCCTCCTTCGCCTCTGGATTCTCGTCCTAATTATCATTCCCATTCTCGCCCATTCCTCCGCCTCTCCTCAATTCCTCCTTCGCTCCTTTACTCCTCATTCTCATCCCCCTCACCTCTCATTATTTTTCTCATTTCAGTGGGGCGGTGCCCCGCGCGGCCCTGATTCGCTGCGACTCTGACTCTCTTAGGCGCGCCCTCGCTGTTCTCGCGCCCCCCCCCCGCCCAGAACGCACCCTTGCGCTTGCGCGCCAGCATCTCGGCCGTCGCCAGTTTCAGCTCTTCGATGTCTGGCGGCTTGGGGCCATCCACTTTGAAACTGCCCTCGGCGAGTTCAGCATGGGCGGCATTTCCGGCCCCGCTCACCTGCCGGTACTCCGAGAATTCTGGCGGGCACCATTTTGTGCGACCCTTCTTTCTGCGAGGGGAGGCCATCTTCTCCTGGCTGTTAAGCTCCACTTTGAACTCCACATCTGGCGCTGGCGCGGCAGCGGCGTCGGGCGGCGGGGATGCAACTGCGACCGGATCTGGGCTTCCTGCGGCTGCTGCCGGGGCTGGGCTGCTTGCGACTAGCGCCGTTGCTGTGGGCTGCCCGCGACTGGTTATGCTGCTGCTGCTGCTGCGGCGCGTCGGCTGCTTGCGGCTACCGCTGCAGGCGCGCCTGCCGCCGACGCTGCCGACGCCGCTGCCGGGGTGCGAGGCTCTGATGCACAGGTTATTGCCAGCGGCTCTGGAGGCAGATCGGGGGCGCAGCCCTCATCTTCGACGCCACCGAATGCAAGCGCAGCGCTGACGTCAAACAGATCATCGCCGATAGTGCTGTTCTGCCTTGAACTATTACAGCTACAAAAGCTACTACTGACACTACTACTACTACTACTACTACTACTACTACTACTACTACTACTACTACTACTACTACTACTACTACTACTACTACTACTACTACTACTACTACTACTACTACTGCTACTAAACTACTACTACTACTACTACTACTACTACTACTACTACTACTACTACTACTACTACGACTATTACTACTACTAGTAGTACTAATACTGCTGCTGCTACTACTGCTACTACTACTTCTACTTCTACGTCTACTTCTACTTATATTACTGCTTCTGCTTCTGCTTCTACTTCTACTTCTACTTCTACTTCTACTTCTACTTCTATTTCTACTTCTACTTCTACTGCGACTGCGACTACGACTACGACTACGACTACTACGGCTACGACTACTACTACTACTACTACTACTCTACTACTACTACTACTACTACTACTACTACTACTACTACTACTACTGCTACGACTACTACTACTACTACTACTACTACTACTACTACTACTACTAGTACTACTATACTGGTACTACTACTACTACTACTACTACTGTACTACTACTACTACTACGACTACTACTACTACTTACTACTACTACTTACTACTACTACTGCCATGACTGCGATTAACATACATACTACGCTTACTACTACTACTACTACTACTACTACTACTACTACTACTACTACTACTACTACTACTACTACTACTACTACTACTACTACTACTACTACTACTACTACTACTACTACTACTACTACTACTACTACTACTACTACTACTACTACTACTACTACTACTACTACTACTACTACTACTACTACTACTACTACTACTACTACTACTACTACTACCTCTACCACCACTACTATATGTACGCTACTACTAGTACTATATCGGCTGTGGTGCATGACCCCATTGTCCTTTCTATGGCACAAGCTTGTCCTGATATACTGATAATACCAGTTAAATTGGTACGACCATATGAGTTGCGTTGGTCTCGTTGTAAATTAATGACGCTAGTTATGTTATTATCAAGGTGAACATTTTCGGCTGACCCAAGATTTGGGTCCACCGTACCTCTGGGTCGTTGCGGTTGCCCGGGCTGCGACTGGGGAGGTTGCGAAAACGTACCCAGAGGCCTGCGAGGCGACCGTAGTTAGAGAGTAATCGCATCTTGGAATCGGCCATAGAGGGCATCACGCGGCCGTCTGCAATGACCACGATACCTCGCTTGGCGCGTGTGAGCCCGAAGTTGACTCTGTTGGGGTTGTCCGCAAAGCCCCACGTGTGGTTGGAGTTGGGCCGTGCGGCAAGGAAGATAACCAAGTCTGCTTCGCCGCCCTGGCTGGCGTCGACCGTGGATGAGCCGCCCCGAGGTGAGGCGTTGGTGGGCGACCTGGCGGGTGCCGGGGGGCACATGACTCAAGCCGTTGGCGCTGGTGGGCCACGGGCTGAAGGCCATCCCCCGACCTTGCCTATCAGGGATGTAGTCTGGGTCACAGGGGTTGGGCGCCGTGTCGGCGCGCGTGGATGTCTGGACAGAGGCAGCGAAGGAACGGCTCCGCGGCGGGATGGCGGCAGAGGGGGGGGCGTCGGCGCCGTCGAGACGGCGGCGACCGGGGGCGGCGGGTGAAGCGACACGCCGCGGTGGGAATGGGGGTTAAGGGGTGGGCGAGGGTTGGGGTCGGGAACGTCGGAATACTTGTCGGCCTTCATCGCGATTTGCAGGGCTTGGGGGGTGAGCGGCCAGCCGTCCTTGAGAATTCCCTTCCGCAGCCTGTACGGGACAATGACCTTGACGGAAAGGTCCCTGTCCAGCTCTGGTAGCAGCGCCCGCACGTGATCAACGGTGACAGCGGCTTCACGGATGTTAACGTACCCCTCGGCGAAGTGTGTCGTCAGTTCGTAAAACCTGTTGTCCACCAGTAGAGCACGGCGGGCGTCTTCCGAGTTCGTGTTTTGTACGCGGGGGTGCAGCCCGTCGCAATCCTTCCTTAAATCTTCGGCGCTGATCCTGTGTAGTCCCGCAAAGGGTTCAAGCCGCTCAGGGTCAAGGTCTGTCACTTAGGGCCAGCGTAGGCGCGGCACCGAGGGACAATTTGCGAGGGGGTTGAAGAGTTCAATGAGGAGTTCATAATTGTACTATGTGTTGGAAAAGAAGAACATGAAGAACGGATTCATGCGGTAGAGAAGGGCCAAGGTGATGCATGCGCTCCCGTGGTCTCCCGGTTGGTACCCGAGCGAGCCGTGTAGTCGCTGGAAGATAGACAGAGTAAGGCCCATGTCGGCAGCCTTGTGGGACAAGACGGTAGGGGTGGGCTGATGGGGAAACGCGAAACTTCAGCAATTCATATACGACCCAGCCTGGGCGACCATACGAAACATGAGTTCGTACCATCCAAGCCAGGCCAGGCTCGGACCCCCCGTCACCAACCATGGCAAAAAATGCAATGCGCGCGCACTCGCCGATCGAACCTCACCAGCTGTCCAAAAGCCAATGTTACAACTATGAAATGGAAAACCACACGCGCTCGTCGCCACATGTGCTGAGCTCCTTGAAAATCCGGGTATCGTCCGGTTTTCAGAAACATGCGTCTCGAATATAAATGGTGCTACAACATCAGTTCTGGACAACATGTCTGCGCGCGCGCCCTTGCGAATTCTAAAGAAAACCATCGGTTCTGAACGTCCACCACATGCGACCGAACGGGCCTCTTGCGGGCATGTCAAAATCGTTCGAACGCCCGTGCGCGCGTGCTGGGGAAGGGGGGGGGGGCGCTTCCTGTCAAATACCACCATGCGGGCCACTCGCGCGCGCTGGCCGCGCGCGCATGGCGAACTCCGTCCAAAACCATCATCACCGACGCAAGGACATTATCATCGTCATCGGCGCGATTAGTATCGGCGCGGCGCCGTCGTCGTATCATTGTACACAGTATCGCAAGTATCATCACCGTGTCTACAGATTCCGACGTCGCCATGCTACTGCGCCCGCCCAACTCACCGACTCGCAGTGAAGTGCCCGCGCGCCAACGCGGCCAACGAGACGCGCTGGAGAATGCCCAACGGCCAGTGACACCTCGTCCGTGTCGGTCATGTCAGGCTAGCTGGCCGCTCAACGCGCGAGCCTGCGCGCGCTAGTGCGGCCGCAGCGATGCACAGGCCAACGCCAGACAGCATCACAATTGCCACATCAAGGGTTTTACAAACCAAATTGTGGGTGCGTGGGTGGGAAGAGTGCGCGAGCACTGGAGTCGACAAATCGCTGCTAACAAAAACTATTTACACCACAGAGACTGCACAGCATGTATTGCACCACATTGGTTGCACCACATATATTGGAGTACGCGCCGAGTGTCGGAGGCCTTTCGACGGATGGTTCTGGCACAAGGCCAGACCTGCATCGCCGTGGGTGCCTTGGCTTCTGCATCGCCTCGGCGGCCAGGAAGAGCATGCACTAATCATCAGGCAAGTTCGACGCGAAATGGAATGTGCACCACATAGGTTGCACCACATCTATTGCGTAACCTAGCTTGCACCGCGTAAATAGTACCCCATTGGCTCCACGCAGTACATTGCATCATCTAGATTGCGCCACATGTATTGCACGTCGCATCTATTGCTCAGAACAAATTACACCACACAGATCACTTCACGTGTAATGCGCAGCGCAGGTCTCGCACCACATACATTGCACCACACACATACGTATGCATCTAATGGGTATGACATCTCTTGCGCCATATACATGCGTACATGCATATTGCACAGCGAAGATTGCCAGGCATGTATTCTGCGTGGGGTCCACGCTGGCTAACGTTGCCCTGCTTGAAAGAAAAATGCTCCATGATCAGGGTAAGGACGAAGACGGGACCAGGCGATTGACAATGATGACGATCATGATGAATAGCTGGAGCTGGTTCGGGAAACGATTGTGATGAAACCATGCTGATCAAGGGGAATGGGGATGCTAATAACCAGGTGGAGATACGGATCATGATGATTGATGGTCAGCTGCAGGATGGTGGTACCTTATACAATTGCTAGGATAGCGATGGTGCTGATGTGGTCGAGCTTGGTGTTGATGAGGATGGATATGTGTAATAAAGATAATGATGGCTTGCTGTTGGTGTAAATGACGATGGTGGTGGGGAGCAAATGGATAAGGTGGATGGGTACGATGGCACTTGCGAGTAAGATGCGGGGCGATGGGGAAGACATTCGCCTGCATAAGTAGTACGTGGAGTATGGCGGTGGAGGTGGTTATGAGGATCAAACACAGCAGGATCAGGAGCAGGTGGAGAACGATGAGGAGAGGATGGTAAAAGTCATTGAGCTGGCGATTATGAGGATGACGTAGAGGGGCCGGTATTGCCAGGTGGGATAGGATTGTGATGGGTACAGCAACGGTGGTCATGATGAGACGGGGGAAGAAGAACATGATGATGACGATATGGTTAGCAGGTGGAGGGGGCAGCGATGAGGAGTATATATGAGTATGGTAATGAGGATGGAGGGGGGCGATAACCATAATAACAATTCATCCAAACGGGGGGCCACGCGAACCATACATTTCAGCATTGTCATCCTCCTCATCGCCCTCGTCCACAACACTAGCCGCATGTTCATATTAATTCCGGCCTTCCTCCCGAAGATAGCGAGACAAACCTGCGCTGAACATACATTTAGTGCGATCACGTTTCTAATGTGATCACGCCTTCCTGTTGTGTATCTTTTTGCCGCACGCGCCGCACAATCGTTACACACCCACCTGTGCACCTTTCCGTGGGGCAGCTCGGACGCGATGGCGGGGGCCGCGCGGTAGGGAGGGGCGTCCGCGAGGGACGCCCCGCCCCTTTTTGTTGGAAGATGAAGGGATCGGACAACCAGTCGACCAACGAATTGCTGGACGACGAAGCTCCTGCCGTGGACGCCCGAACTGGGCAGGGGAAGCATGTGAGCCCGTCGGTCGGGTATAAACATGCAGTGGGAAGGCGTTGGAAGTAGATTGGGTTTCCGCCGGCTCCCTCAAGAGGAAGGAGGAAGGACGACCTCTCGACGATTGAAGCAGGAAGGCGCCTATAATATATTGGGATATGAGAATCCAGAAATACCTACTTCCAACGACCGACGCGCATGATGCCCAACAATAGATGCTGTCCAGAACCGAAAGCGGCCGCTGTTGGGCAAGCGGCCGTTTGTCCACAGTGGGCAACACAACGACCGCGGCGACACCGGCAGCCAGTCCTGCTCAACATGAACAGGACACTCGGCCTTCGTATCCGTTCTTTCTGTACCCATGTCGATCGTGCTGATCTGCCAGCACGGTTCGCTGCGATCGCAGGAACACCATCTGGGGCTTCCCGCTGGCCAGCACTCGCCAGGCGCTCGCCGAGCGCCCGTCCAGGAGGGCCCCGAAGCGGCGCCCCAGAGGGCCCCTGGACGGCCCAGCGCGTCCCAAAGGGCGCCCCGAGAGGACCCCAAGACGACTCAGGACGGCCCAGTGGCGCGCCGAGACGGAACGGCCCAGGGAAGGCGCACCCCCTCCAGCCCGCGCCCCCTGCGCCGCCCTCTTTCGTGCGCCACGCCCCCACGATGCGCGGCGACGCCGCGCCATCATCGCCTCCGTCGCACCCTCGCGGCGACCCCCTTTCGGAGAAGGGCGCGCCGAGGGAGCGGCAGCCCATCCGCGGACCCCGGCCCCCATCCCGAGCTGCGCCCAGTCGCGGCGACCAGGGGCTCCCCCGCAGGCCAACTGCCGCTGCCTCCACTCGCCCTCCTCTGCCCCCCGCGGAGGGGCAGCTGCTCTGGCCCGGACCGCAGCGCGCGAAGCGCGCGATCGCTTTCGCACCCCCCGGGGGGGCCGACGCGGGACCGAATCGCGAACCGGCTAGAACCAGAAACGCGTCGCCAGCGAATCGTCCCAAATCCGATCGACGCCGGATCGCGGCGCCTGGCCCTGGTCGATGCTGGCAAAATTTGAACCGAATCGAGTCGGATCGAAGTCGCGGCCCTGGCCTTCGAATCGAATCGCATCGAATCGTAGGCGGCCCTGGCTGGCCCCTCGAGCAGGGGAGGAGGATGGATGGATGGACCCCCATCAAAGAGGCCCTGGCGGCCGTCTGCGCGCAAACGAGCGCCAAGGCCCCAGATGTCGATTGGCGCCCGCGCCGCCGCGAGCCCGCCGCACGGACGCCGAGGCGACGAGGGAAGGGCCCCGAAGAAGCCCAAAGAGGCATCACTCACGACCCTGGCCTGCCCAAAGGGCACGCCATGAGAACGGAAGCCAACCCCGCGGGGACGGACGGGCCACGGGACGGCCCCAGAGGTCGCCCCCCCTAGGAGGGGACACAGGCACGCGCGCCAGCACGAGCCCCCAACCGCGGCGTACCCCCCCGAACGCGCCGAAGGGGCCGCCAGCCAGGAATCCGAGGCAAATCCAGCGAGAGGCCAGCCACTCAGGGGTCGCCGACCACGCCATCCACCCGGAAGAGGTACGCGCCCTTCAAGGAGTAGGCCTGCCAGAAACGGGCGCTCCCCATGAAGTCGCGCACGGACTCGAGGGCAATGCCCTCGGCCTCGCTCTGGAGAGCGACGTCATCCAAGCTCGCGCCGACGTTGGGGAGCCCGATCGTCGGCTCGCCATTCGCACGCACCGAGACGCTCATCACGCGGCTACGCGCGAACAGCCTGAAGAAGAGCTGCTCGACGACGAGGCGGCTCTGGCTGGTGAGGACCCTGCTCTCCGCGACCTCGGCCGCCCTGGGCCCCCAGCTCGGCGGGCTCCTCAGCGGTGCCCGCCTGGACCGGTTCGGCGGGCTCCTCGGCGGTGTCCGCCTGGACCAGCTCGGCGAGCATGCCGGCAGTGTCCGCCTGGACCGGCTCGGCGGGCTCCTCGGTAGTGTCCGCCTGGCCAAGCTCGGCAGGCTCCTCGGTGGTGTCTGCCTGGAGCAGCGCGGCAGGCTCCTCGATGGTGTCCGCCTGGACTAGCACGGCGGGCTCCTCGCAGGCACGCCCACAGGGTGCCCGTCAACGGTGAACCCGCTCACCAGACGCTTCCAGGCATCGAACTCCAGCTCCGAGCCGACCTCGACGTCAACGGCCGTGCACACGCCCACGGTCTCCTCCAGGACCCGCTCGGGCTCGACCGCGGGAATCCCCTCCTGCAGCTTCGACGCCTCCAGCTGCTCCTTCGGCTGGGCAGTCGGGGTGGCAACGCTCTCGAATACCACGTCCGAGCCCGCCTCGACGACGGGGCAATGACCAACCACGTGCAGCGCGGCAGCGGTGTCCCGCGCAGCAGCGGCGTCGCCATCCGCGGGGCAGCAATCCCCCGCAGGGGCCCCAAGGCCAGCAAGGCCGCCGACGCCGAGCTCCTGCAGCAGCGTGTCCGCCTTCACGGAGCAGACGGGCGTGTAGGGGGTGGCCTCGCCCCTGAGCGGCGTCGCATCGCCTGTCAGCAGGCGCTCGACCGCTGGAGCGTCCCAGCCCCCGTGCGTGAAGGCGTCAGCGGCCGAAGAGGGGCGAGGCAGGCCGCCCGCCGCGCCAGGCGGAGGCGCCTGCCTGGCCCAATTCCCCTCCTGCAGCGCTACCTCGCACCGCACGATGGTGTCGGGCGGCATCCGAAGCAGCCTGGCGGCCTGCAGCGCCTCGCCCATGCTGGGCAGATGCGCCCCGAAGCTGCCGCACAGCCGCCAGTGCTCGCGCAGGGAGGCACGCACGGCCTTCTCGCGCACCACCAGCGCAACCGCCCATGATGGCCCCTCATCACGGCGAGCCTCACACCGCAACCTGCGGGCGAGGGTGCGGGCGATCGCGGCAGCCCAGCGCCTGCCGCCAGCCGCGCCCCCCACCGACACCACGGCCTCTGGCGCGCCACGCGCCCGAGCGGCGCGCTGCGAGGGCCTCCCGAAGAGCGGCTCACTTGAGCCAAAATGGCCACGGAAGAGCAGGGGAGGATAAGAGGAGGAGGAGGAGGAGGAGGAGGAGGAGGAGGAGGAGGCGGATCATCGTAGGAGGTGAGGGCGGAGGGACGAACGATAAGAATCACTGGCCTCCGCGGCGGAAGGCGGCGTCAGCCGGCAGGGGTTAAGACGGCTCTGGGCTCGCCGGTGGGAGCTGGCGGAGGGTTGGCGGAAGGTGGCAAAGTAAGAGGGAGATGAAAACTCTGGGGGATTCATGGGACGCACAAGGACATACTAGTACTATGTCTTCCGTGGAGGCGTGCGCCCGACACGAACATGTCGTATAACCGTCTTGAAATAAATCGTTTCCCTCGAAATACGGCCAGAAGCGCCCGCCACGGAGCTTACACTAGAAGATGTATCGGCCCGCGCGTCGCCACTGGGGGGGGGGCGACGCACACATAGTATTAGCATGTTGGGGTGACACCGAATTCAGGGTCTCCAGAGCGGGCCGCCTCAGCAGGAACAGGTCTTGGAGGACATCGCCTCGCCACCGCTGTCGCTGCCGATCCGCTGGGAGCCGGTGTGCGTGCCCGAGACCATGGTGTTGGGGTCGATAAGGCCGTCCTCTATCTTGTTGAGGATTACGCGCGCCACTTTGATGAACACATCCTCCACGCCCTCGCCCGTGAGGGCGCTTGTCTCCAGGAACAGGATGTCGTTCTCCTGCGCGCACCGGCTGGCCTCCAGGAAGGTGACTGCCCGCTTGTCCTTCATGTCGCACTTGTTGCCTACGGTGATGATGGAGGTGTCCGCCCTTGCGAGCGTCCTGGCGTCCTGCAGCCAGTTCACGAGGTGGTTGTAGGAGTCCCGATTCGTGATGTCGTACACGATCAGCGCCCCCGCGGCTCCGCGGTAGTAGCTCCGCGTGACGGATCTGTACCGCTCCTGGCCCGCGGTGTCCCAGATCTGGAGCTTAATGTTGCGGCCGCCGACGTGAATGATCTTGGATCCGAACTCCACGCCGATGGTGTGGGACGAGCCCTTCTTATATCTGTTCTCGATGAACTGATGGAGCAGGCACGACTTTCCTGCGCCAGCATCGCCAATGATGATGAACTTGAAGAGGTAGTCGTACTGATCCTTCTCCTTCTCCGAGGCCATCCCTGTGCAAGCGGGATCCCCGTCAGAATCCCGCGCTTCCGCTCCATGGGGGTCCAGGGCAGCTGAGCATCACTTGAGCCAAAACGGCTGCAGGATGAGGGGGGACTGGGGTTGAGGATCAGAGAGAGGAAGAGGATGAGGCTGAGGACGAGGTTGACCACGAAAAGGACGTGGATGATGGGGAGAAGGACGCGGACGAACAATAGTGGGAAAAGAAGGCCCCAGTGACGGAAAGACAATGTAAGCATACACGCGTCAGCGTCCAGAGGAGGGGCATGAGGATAACAATCTGGAGAACGAGGACAAGGAAGCTGAGCCCCCTTTTCCTCCGTCCTCCCCTCCTCTCTCCTCTGGCTCCCTTCCCATCCCCCGAGGACCGAGGACATCTGCTCCTCAAGCCCTGGTCCCAGTAATTGGGGAAGCCCTTGGCCCTTGGGTGACCCAATGGGCGGCCTCAAAATCACGAAAACCCTCACCGCACGATCCGTCACCGCACGGTTGAGGGACCCCGGAAGCCCCAATCGCTCGAGACATCATCGGATAATGACCCGGGTCCCAAAACCGTGCGGTCACCACACGGTGGGTCCTCCGGGGACCTCGACCCCAGACATACGACGCCTAGATTCTGTCAATGCACGGGGTAACCGGAAGCCCCGACCCGTTCCCCCGGGGCGGCTTTTCGCCCCGAGCACTTAGAGGCTAGCGCTTTTTATGCTACTTAAGGACTAGTTGTGGCTGGGCTGAAGCTACGTTTGTTCTGGCGTAAGTGGCGCCGTTGTGTAAGAACTCTGTAACTGATGTAAGGGTTTGCTGGATTCTGTAACTACACTTGTGCTACTTATAAGTATGTGTGTTCTTTTGGGCAGCGAGCTAAATTACTTATTATATAGCACAAAGTAACTTAGTTGTTCTTGTAGTGCGTAACTTAGCCCTACTCACTAGAACTTCTGAATAACTTAAGCCTATACTCCACTCGGCCCCTTCCGCGACTCGCGCGCCTGGAATCGGTCCCCCAGCCTAATTAGTTCGCGGGGCGCTGCCGTTGCAAATGAAACCGTGCAAACAAACCTCCCCTGTTCCCTTATCTTCCGTGTTCTGCCTCCACCTCATCCTGCTCCTCTCCTCCAAAGCATGGAGGGGATAGCGATAGCGATCGCTTGAGGAAGGTTGTGGGATGATGGAGGGTAGCGATTGCGATCGCTTGAAGGAGGAAGAGAAGAGGGAAACTGATGGAGGAGATGGCAATAGCGATCGCTTGAAGAAGATTGTGGGATGATAGAGGGTAGCGATTGCGATTGCTTGAAGGATAAAGAGAAGAGGGAATCTGATGAGGGAGATAGCGATGGCGTTCGCTGGGGAAAGGTTGTGGGATCATGGAAGGTAGCGATTGCGATCGCTTGCGGGGGGAAACGGGGAGGGAAGTCAATGGAGGAGATAGCGATAGCGATCGCTTGGGGAAGGTTGTGGGATCATGGGGGGTAGCGATTGCGATCGCTTGAAGGAAGAAACGGAAGAAGGAAATTGATGGAGGAGATAGCGATAGCGATCGCTTGGGGGAGGTTGTGGGATCACGGAGGGTAGCGATTGCGATCGCTTGATGGAGGGGGAGAGGGAAGTTGATGGAGGAGATAGCGATAGCGATCGATCGGGGGAGGTTGTGGGATGATGGAGGGTACCGATTGCGATCGCTATGTGGGGGAAGAAGAGAGGAGAGTTGATGTGGGAGGTGGCGATAGCGATCGCTTGAGGAAGGTTGTGGGATGATGGAGGGTAGCGATTGCGATCGCTTGCTAGGAAGAAGGGAGGGAAGTTGATGAGGGAACTAGCGGTAGCGATCGCTTGAGGCAGGTTGTGGGATGATAGAGGGCAGCGATTGCGATCGCTTGAGGAAGGCAGAGGTGAGAGAAACTGTTGGGGGAGATCGCGATAGCGTTAGCGTGGGGCGGGTTGCGGGATGATGGAGGGTAGCGATTGCGATCGCTTGAGGAAGGTAGTGGGGTGATTGAGGGTAGCGGTTGTGATCGCTTGAGGGAAGGAAGAGGCGAGGGAGCTGCTGGGGGAGATAACGATAGTGATCGTTTGAGTACGGTTGTGGGATGATGGAGGGCATCGATTGCCCACGCTTGATGGATGAAGGGGGGGAGGAAAGTTGATGGGGGGAGGTAGCGATAGCGATCGCTTGATGAAGGTTGTGGGATGATAGAGGGTAGCGATTGCGATCGTTTGAGGGAGGAAGAGGAGGGGGAAGGTGATGAGGGAGATAGCGGTAACGATCGCTTGAGGAAGGTTGCGGGAAGATTGTGGGTAGCGATTGCGATCGCTTGGGGGGGAAAGGAGAGGGAAGTTGACGAGGGAGGTAGCGACGGCGATCGCTTGAGGTAGGTAGTGGGGCGTCGCGTTGTGCGCGAACGTCTGTGCTGCAGCCGTTTTGTCTGCGCGCGCGGTGTAGCGCATGTCGCGAGCCACGCGCTGGGCGCCCATCGGCGCCGCGGGAGCAGCGTGCCGCGGAGCGCAGCGCGCCCTCCCCTCCAGTCGCCTTGTGGCGTAGGAGCTGCCGGCGATCGCTCGAGGGTAGCGATTGCGATCGCTCGCGCGGCTGCAGGCGCAGATCGCGATGTCGGACGTCCAAGAGTTGCTGGCGCAGCTAAGGGCCGCCACCAGCTTCCTCGCGAAGCTCCCGAAGGGCGGCGAGGCGCGGCAGAAGCTCCTGAATGCCCAGGCCGCCGTGGCGTCGTCCATGATGCAGTCGTAGACGTTCATTGCCGCCGAGGGCTCCGCCGAGCTCGCGGTGGCGATCGCCGAGCTGCCCTGTAGCGCGAAGAAGCGGGATGAGCTCCTCGCAGTGGCCACCTCGCTCGCGACGGCCTCGGCGAGGGTGCTGCAGGTCAACGCGGCGGCGAGCCAGCAGCTGCTCTGCTCGTCGCGCACGCCCCAGCAGGATTTCACTGCCATCACTGCCTACCCGACGGCGAAGCAGTGGGAGGTCATCCTGGATGCGGGCAACGACTTCCTGGGCCGCGTTGGGGTCGTGCTCCAACGCTGCAAGGCCCTCGTGCGGCGCACCGCAAGCGAGCCGACGGCCCGGGCGGCGACCTGCATCGCCTTGCAGGTGCAGGGCGTCAATTGGGCGCTGCGCCAGTGCCCCGTGGCCTCCCGTGGCTTCTTCAAGAGGGCGAAGACGTGCGTCGGGAAGCTCATCCCGTGGAAGGCGCGCAAGCAGTTGGCCGCTGCCGCGTCGTCGTTCGCGGCGGCGCCCCCCGCGAGGTTGACAGATTTCGCTGGGACCCACGGCGAGATCTACATTCGGGCGCTCAACGAAGCTAGCCCCGTGGGATTTCCGCTCGACGCCGCGCAGTTCCTCGCGCTCGCTGACGGCGTCCCCATGCGCGAGAGGAAAGCGAGACTCAAGGCGATGACTGCGTCGCCGTCGATGGACCTCGCGACGCAGCCCGTCGAGAGGAGCGACCGCAGCGACGCCAGGGCCATCAGCTACAGGCGATACCAGCCGTCGGCGCAAGCAGCCCTTCCGATCGGCGACGTCAGTGTCCCCGGCACACCTGGCGCGCCAAAGGCCGAGCTGCGCGCGAGCCCCGTCTCCGCGGAGGAGGCCGGGGACAAAATCACAGCGCAGCTGAAGGAGAGCAATAAGAAACGCCCGACAGCGAGAGCGACCGCGCCGACGGCTCCGACGGCGAGCGCGACCACTCCGACGGTGGCGACGCTGAGGCCGAGACGACGGGAGCGGCTGTCAAGACCGCGGAGGCAAGGAATAGGAAGTCACCAACAGCACCACGGAGCCAGGAGGGTCGATGAGGAGCGCGGTAGATAAAGTCATCCCCCAATGGGAGGACATGTCATCGAAGGCCCTCTGGGGCGAGGGGGGAGGGGCAGCGATGAAGATAACTTCCATCACCTCGGAAGGGCAAGAAGACCTAGGCGGGCAAGAAAGACAATAAGGAACATAAAGACAAGAAGGACACGAAAAGCAAGACGGGCAAGCTATGCCAGAAAGGCAAGGCAAGCAAGCTCCGTAAGAAAGCGAAGCCAACGTTCAGCGTCGAGTGGAGCAGGTCCCAGGTCCTCTGCAGGACAGGCCAGCGCGGGCCAGGCCAGTCGGTGGCGCATAAGTTCGCGAAGTACGGCAGCACCGAGAAGGCGATCGCATCGGCCAAGATGTGGGTGGCCAAGGCGAGCAAGGCGGGCGGCGCGTGATAGACGCAACGTCGCACGCGGCAGCCGCAGGGGGGGCCCGCAGCGGCGGCTGCCGAGGAGGGGCCCGCACGCGGTCCGCGTGGCCCGCAGCGGCGGCAGCCGAGGAGGGGCTCGGAAGGCGCGCCAGAGCGGGCCCGAGTGCGGCCGGGGGGGCGTCGAGGATAACGCCCTCAGCGGACCGCGGCGGCAGCCGAGGAGGGGCCCGCGCGCGGTTTGCGTGGCCCGCAGCTGCGGCAGCCGAGGAGGCGCTCGGGAGGCGCGCCAGAACGGGCCCGAGCACGGTCGGGAGGGCGTTGAGCTGAGGATCACACCTTCCGCGGGCCGCGGGGCTGGCAGCCCGCCGCCCGCCGCGCCGCCGGCCGCCCGCGCGGCGATGGCGGGTGGCGGACAAGGCCAACTGAATTCTGGCGCGTCGGCGATTGGGGCGCCGATCTCGGGGGCGAAAAACTGCGAGAGGGATGTTGGATGAGATGGTGGATGGGGGGTGAAAGGCATGACCGAGTGGCGGTTTTGACCGCTGGGGGGTGGAGGGCGAGGGAGGCAGATAGCGAGTTCGATCGCATAGCGACTTCGATCGCTGGGATGCGCGGGGCGATTAGGGCGGATAGCGAGTTCGATCGCATAGCGGTCTCGATCGCTGGGAGGCGGATGGCGAGGGGGGCGGATAGCGACTTCGATCGCATGGCGATTCCGATCGCTGGGGGGCGGATGGCGAGGGGGGCGGATAGCGACTTCGATCGCTTTGGAGGAGTGAGGTCGGTGCCAATTTGCGCCCAACCATTGCCGCTCTGGCGTTGGAGGGGGGCTTGCGGGAGCTCCCGCGCGCGGGCGGCGGGTTCCGTCGGCGGCGCGGGCGGCGGCGCGGCAGCGCGACCAG